GACCATTTAGACCGGTGAAAACTACAGATCACATACTGGAATGTGGGCGCTATTAAAAACATACAGACAAAAAATCGTAGCCGTCTTGAAGAAACAGCCTGTAGGTGTGACCAATCCCAGCCTTCTGAAGCCTGCACATCTACCAGGCTCAGCTTCTAAACTGAAAGAATCAAAGATCTCAGACTTCTCTTTGCCACATTGTTGGCCTTTTAATTTTTATTAGATTTATTTGTGTGTGTGTGTGTGTGTACGTGCGCGCGCGCTGCCGGTCAGAGAACAGCTTTCAGAGGTGGGTTCTCGATTTCCACCGGATGGGTCCTGGGAACTGAACTGAGGTCTTCAGGGTGGGTAGCTTTTACCCCCTCCTTCCCTCACCCAGCCATCCTGCCTGCTCTCTGTCACAGTGTTACTTTGAGGAATCATTTTGTTGCTAGGCTGGGCAATGGAGTCCGCTGAAGTGAGACACCACATTGTTCATTTCCCAGCCTCTCTCCTGTGTAGCTCAGTGTCCTGGAGAGGAAAAGAGTTATATGACTAGCCTAAAGTGGGGCTGGAGAGGCAGCTGGGCAGGTAAGTCAGCTGTGGCCCCGCATGCCTCTGTAACCTCAGTGCTGTGAGGGATGGAGACAGGAAGGAGAGTGATAATGTAAGGAGGCAGCTGATGTCCTTCCTCTGGCCTCTTCCCACCTACCAGCATACCCCTGGGCACATATACCGCCTTCACACTCAAAAGTTAATAGACCAATTGAAGGTTGATAATGCTGCAGGCTTCGCATAATTATCCCTTTTATTCACCTAAGGTCTGGGGGCGGGGGGGGGGGGGCAGATTACAGTGATCCTCGAGGCAGCCCTGTTGCTGTGGGGCACACCTGAGCTCATGAGACCCTAACTGTGCCCGCCTTGACCTCTGCACTATCCCCTGAATATAGCGGTGGTTGACATGACTGTCAGAGAGCAGGTACCCTGGATCCCCTCCCCTTTCTCGACTGAGCTGTGTATCACCACAGCAGAAAGTCTGTCCTGTTTTAGAATACCCCAAGGGACACTGCTGGCTCTTTCTTTGGGTTTGGAGGACAGGGCCTTCTTCCGTGAGTCCCTTTCGCAGTGTTCTCTATTCTTGAGGGTAAGAGATCAATTCTGAGAGTTTGTTCAGGCTTCTGGCAGAAGTGTGGACGGACAGGTGGTAAGGTGACTTTTCACCTACATGCAGGTGGCCAGGCTGGAGGCTGCCGTCACTGCGGTGTGTCATGCCAGGCACCGTGCCCTCCAGCTGTGTTGCCTGACTGCAGCTGGTCCCTTCCTCAAAGTCTTATACATCTGCCTTTGGATGAGTTTAGAGAGTGGTCTGTGGGCCAGCTAATCTGCCAACAAAGCGAATCACCCCTAGTCTGTGGTTTTCATCCCTGGGGGGCTGTTTGCCACCAGCCCACAAAGGCAGGAGGGGCAGAAGACGAAGTGCAGAACTTGGAAGGCTGGTGAGCAAGACTGAGCTCAAGCACTCCAGGAACCACTTCTGGAAGCTAGTTCAACTTTAATTCTGGAGAACAATGGCTGGATTCCCTTTAGGGAGTCGGGGGAGGGGCTCCAAAAATAGGTGTGCCTATTGGTTGATACTTGGCACTTAAAGGATGCTTGATTTACATTAAACAGCACACTCCTGTCTTATGAAAGGGAACACACTACCTAATTATTCTATAGGCACAGGGAGGGGAGAGCTAGCAGGGAGCTGCGTCAAAGGCCTGATATCAAATGTGGTTAGGGCTATCTACGTCTAAAGACACACTCCAGATGAAGTCAGGCAGAGAGCAGGAGGCCCTGCTAGGAAGAGGGAATCCTGCATTTTAATCCTGAGCTCAGAATGGCTACTCGGGCTAGGACAACCGAAACCTCAAACAGCAGGGTCCTTCCAGCACTAGTCTATTGGCCCACAGGACAGGGAGTGCAGATCTGCTTTAGTAGAACCCTTACCACCTGGAAGTAATTGTGGTCCACTGTGTGAGTTCCTACTGCGTGCCTCAGGTGATTTCCCATGCAAGTTGCTGTTGGGCAGCCGGCAGCCCAGATGGCCAGTGGCTAGCAGACAGGCCCGGGGCTCAGAAGGCTCCCAGGCTGCCAATGGGGTCAAGTTGGCTGTGCTGTTGTTAATACTAGTAGCTTCCATGACAACCCCGAGATAAACACCTGTGATCAAGCAAAGGCTGGAACGAGATTAGGTGTCTGGGCAGGGTGGGGCCTGGACTGTGATTCGGACATCCTTAAATGACCTGTATATATTGTTTTATGTGGCTATTGGACAGGCATAATTGGTTTGTTAACCAGATAGTGTAGCAGGAACTCCAAGTGGCCCCACTGGGCAGGTGTCTTAGAGGAAAGCAGGTGGCTGGAGCTTTCTCTGAGTGAGATGCTGGGGTGGATTCTGACGGGAAGGGTGCTTGGGAGCTGCTAGCCCAGCCCAGTCACCCCATGAACCCCAAAGCCTCTGAAGCCAGCACCGGTTTGCAGCAGTGCTGTGATCACCTCCAGGTCTCTGTGCAACAAGTGGCTCCAACACCTTCCTGCCCTAGAGCAAAACATGTGACTTAAAAGAACTAAACCTGACCTCAATTGCCAGGTGCAAATATCAGTCGCTGGGAGTCATCAGGAGGCTAATCTTTGAGCCTCTGCTTGTTAACTATTAAGAGTACGCTGTTCAAGATGTTATAAAGGCTGTCTGCCTCGCCATTTATGATTTCCAGTAAGCCAGAGCACTTCAAGGAAGGGCCAGGGCAAGTGAGAGGTTCCAGGCCTTCTACTGAACTGGCAAAGCAATTTCTGCAGAGGCCTAAGAGGCAAGAGCAGGGACCCATTCCTAACAGAAAGATTAGCCCTCTCTAGGATGTGGCTGAGAGCCATCCTGTCTGAACAGCTTTGGAGGGACAGGCAGTTCCTGCCCCAGGCCAGGGAGCTTATGTTCGCTCTCAGGGTGGGGAGGTCAGAAGAGGAAGAGGAGGAGGAGGAAGAGAAGGAGGAGGAAGAGAAGGAGGAGGAGGAGGAGGAAGGCAATCATGTATATCAGTTGTTTTGTGCTTACCGCTGGCTGCCAGGGAAGCTCAGTGCTCTGGGCACACTCGTCTGCCATTCTGGGCAACAGCAGCTCAGCCCTTACAGAAAGCTAGGGGAGCATTCCCAACAGACACCTATGCTGGGGTTCCTCTGTGGCTGGCCAGAATGGGGAAGCCCAAACCACAAAGAAACTGCAGGCAGGCAGTGTGTCCCTCCTGAGAAGGAACTGAGGCTCTCCTGCCTACCCTCTGATGCCAGGATGGAGGGGGCTCTTCAGGCCCTTCTGGGTTTCTTTGAAGCACCCAGTCTGGCAGCAAACACAGAAAAAAATTGTATCAAATGAAATTAGCCTGCAGCTTTGGTTGTTGTTTTGTTGTTTCTTTGTTTTAGGATGTCAGCAGTAAGAACTCTTCAAAAGTTGAAACACACTGATGATGTTGTCAAGGGACTGAGGTTATGGCAGGGCGATCAGGGGCAGGTTCTCAGAGGGATACGTGAAAGAGAAGCAGAGCCAAGAAGGAGCAGATGCATAGTGACCTGGGCAGTCCCCTGTCCTGCCTGATGTAGGGACAGGACAACTAGTGTGACAGGAAGAAAGGAACTAGGTTGGGGTATGTGACCTTTCTTTTCCTGACTTCTGGATTATCACCTCAACATCCATTTGGTATAATGGATGGTTCCCTGCCATTTCTCATGTGTACATGTAATGGTTCCCTTCATAAGAGGCATTCAATATGTTGGAGCATTAACTGTAAAACCACAGAAGACAGCATGGTGAGTGCTATGGGAGGAGAATCCCAGAGGCAAATAGTACAGGTCAGACTGACTTTCTGAGCCACTGTGGGCTCTGGGGGAAAACGATGGAAAAAAAACCACGTCTGAGCCATGATGAGGGGTGGAGTACATTGATGCCTGAGACAGGTTGAGGGATGAGTAGAATGATGCCTGGGCCCTGCTGAGGGATGCTGAAAGGAAGCCCGAACCATGTTAAGGGATGGGGTGAGGTGATGCCTGAGCAATGTCAAAGGATGGAGAAAGAGAGCAAGTTTGTTCCGGGTGTAGGGAGAAGCTGAGGGCTTGGGGTAAAAAGATTTAGGGGGTCTGTCTTGAGATGGACAGCTGCTGGGAGCATTCACAGAGGTCTCAAGTGCTCTGGAGCCTCAGGCAGACACTCAAGAATAGCTTGTAGAGTTGAGACAAGTTACTAAGGCGCCAAGTCAGCAGGATGCTAAGGCTGGAGGACAGGATACTGCTCACGAACTGTGTTTTAGATCTCTCTCCAGGCACTGCTTCATTCCCGAGAGCCAGCCCATGGGAGGACCAATCCCTGCCCGTAGCCTATCGTCAGAGCAGAGTAGAGATGAACCTCAGCCAGGCAGCAGGATATACTTGAGCAAGTACCAGCCTCTTGGTTCTTAGTGAGCGGAGCTGCATAGTTCCAACCTGAGACAAATATTAGGCTTTGCATTTAGGTCAAGAAGACTTTTTTCACTCAGTCCCTTTCAGGCACATCACTGGGTTGTAAAATTATAAAGGTATGCCATCCCAGCTTGCGGGAGACACTGGTGCTCTCCTTTCTTCTTACTTGTTCCCCAGTTTGTATTCTTCCCGCCCACCATCTTATCCCTAGTCCCAGCCTCTGGTTACCTTTTTAATATCCATACACTGCTCCTTAACAGCGCTCCAGTAAACATGATGACAGATACCTGCTCACTTTAAGTACTGCTACCACCTGTGATCTGTTGACAACCAGAAAAAAAAAAAAAGTAATGTGAATTTCTAGTCCTTTTGTAAGCTGCTATTACAAATTGTTTAGGATAATAAGAAATGCAATAGTTAATAGTATGGGCATATTTAGTCACTAGTTTAGTTACTCACAGGAATAATCTTTAAACAGACAACATTTGCCTATTCAGATATACTATAGATAAGATATTAATAAAAGGCTCTTTTGACAGTGAGACATGTCAGCTCCTGGCAGCACCCTCATGCTACTTCAGAGAAGATGATGGTCATTGAAGAACCTCCATATGGAGTTTGCTTCAGCTGCAGCAATGGGCAAGAAACTGCCCTTGCCTCGATTGCAGACAGCCTGCTATCCAAACTGGACAATCTGAACACAGGGAAGTCGACTGCCAAGCTTTGCCAAGACAAGGTAAGCAGGCCTTCATAATTCCCGATTCTTGGAAAAGTCTGTCATATACTGGGCCAGAAGGCCAAAGATGATGCCCCAATCTTGCTGAGGGATGGTAGATGTCCAGGAAGACAACTGTCTCTTTGTAGTTTTGGAAGTTGCTTGTCTACTCAGATATTTATCCTTCTCAGGTGTCTGATGGGGTTGAAGACTAGATAGTTATAATCTCACATAAAAACTTAAGTTGTGAAGGATCGAAGAAAGTGTTTTGGGGTCTAAGGAGATGTTTTAAGGGTGGTAAATGCAAGTTATGAAGGATGGAGGACATGGAAGCTTAAGTTGTAAGAAGGTGTTTTAAGGTTGGAAATGAAGGTTAGAGGGTCTAAGAATGTGTTTTATGAAGGTTGGAGGAAGTTATAAACATGTTTTAAGGCTGGCAATTGCAAGTTGTGAAAGTTAGAAGAGATAAAGGTTTAGATGGTAATAGAAAGTGATTTAGGCACAAAAATATGGACCCACCAAGATAGATAGTGGAATACTTTCTCCAAGATTGCCAAATACAAATGGACTGGGCATTATTATGTAATTCTTACATGATAGTTTTCATAATTATACTTACTGTTTTTAGTTTATTATTGTAAGAGAGCCTTTTCTTGGTCTGAAAGGGGTCGATGTTGGGGGCTGGTCTTGTGCACTGTGTATTCAGATGCTGGTTTCTGTGTCCTGAGGTCTGGTTGCAGTCAGCTGTGGGCATTGTCATTTCTATGAAGAATCTTCTGTCTCAACACTGTGTAAAAATTGTTCTCCAGTCATCTCTGGTTGGTATAAAGAAGCTGAATAGCCAGAAATCTGTGCAGGAGAGTTAGGGCTGGACTTCCAGTTCCAGTGAAGAGGATCCAAGGTAGAAGAAGAGGAAGGAGGGGAGAACAGAAGGTTGCCATGAGGACAAAGTTAGAGGAGGACCAGCCAAGACAGTACGAGATGGCAGGTAAAAGGGCACGTGGCTGGGAAACGGTACAGACCAGAGTAGATGGGCTAGAATAGATGAGTATCTACTCAGTTTAGCGCTTTAAAGCTTATTAATAAATTTGATAGGTCCCTGTCATTTTGGGGAGCTAGAACAGATAATAGAAAAAAAAAAAAAAAAAAAAAAAAACCTATACTATCGCAAGCCTCATCGCATTTTTTTCTTTTGCTTAAACTTCCATGTGCCCCTAAAGGTCGTTTCTCTGCCCTTATCACATACCCGGTGCTGGCAGCCAGCTGGTGGGCTGTTTCACCCATCTCCCTTGCCTCTGCCTTCTGGTCAGGATTACTCACTGGGAAGGGATCAAAGAAGATTAGGACAAAACTTCATTCCCGTTGGGGCAGGTGGGATTGTTCAGTGAATAAAGGTGCTTTGCCACCAATCCTGAAGATCTGATTTCAAGTCCCAGGATCCATATAGTAGAAAGAGAACAGATTCCTACAAGTTTCCTTTGACCTCCACACACACACACACACATATATACATACATACATACATAAATACATACAACATAAATACATACATATATGCATTATATATTACCTCCAATCCAACACACACATATGTAAATTTTATGTATGTATGTATGTATGTATGTATGTATGTATGTATGTATGTATGTGTGTTTTGACACAGGGTTTCTCTGTGTACCCCTGACTGTCCTGGAACTTGCTCTGTAGTGGACCAGTCTGGCCTCAAACTCAGAGATCCACCTGCCTCTGCCTCCTAGGTGCTGGGATTAAAGACATGTGGCAGACTGCTCAGGAATAAATGTCAATTTTTAAAAAAGAGTTTCTCCTCCTTGATCTCCACCCGCTTACTGCATCCTCCTCTTGTCGGTGCCTCCTTCCAGCTTCACACTATCATTTGTTACAGGTCATAACTGCTCCCATGGGGTCACTCTACTGGGCTGCCATCAGCCCCTCCCACACCCACATAACCCAGCCCTACTTGAGCACAATGTCACTTATTCTCTACCACCTGACCTTCTATGAGGTAAGGACACCGACACCCCATTTGAGGACAGCAAAGCTCTGAAGCTCAGAGAAGGTTAACAGCCTGTGTGAGGAGGGCCCGCGGCTGGTAACCAGCAGAGAGGGCAGGGCTCAGTTCTGAAGGGTTCCAAAGGGTGTGTCTTGTCACGTCGGATGGCTTCCCACACACTAGAGTTCACCTCCCCGACTGTATCTGTTTACTCCACTCTTTTTTTGTTGCTCAACCCACCACCGTTTGAGAGTGAGAATTCTAAGTGAGTGCTGAAAGAAGGCCTCCCGGTGAACATGGAGAAAGTGGCCGGTGGCTGGTCAGGATGGAGGAAGCGCACAAAGCCTGTCACTCTAGGCTGCTGTGAGCCCGAGCGTCCCATGCTTGCCTTGCCCTTGCTCTGTCCTTTGCTCTGAAGGCACACCCCTGTCACCATAGCCTCTAGGGGCTGTGGCAAAGTTCTCAGTCTGCCATGGAGGTATGGGTTACCTAATGCTGCTCCCCGCTTCTCAGCACTGGTCCTACAGAGACATGATACAGTGTAGGTCCTTCTGTGGCTGGCCTCCATGATCTGTGTATGGGGACGCCCTACGGCCATCCTGAAACTGCTGATTCAGTTTGCGTGAGGATATTACTTCTTATTTTAAGGAACTTTCAAAAACACCTAAAATTTAATTGTAGACGCAATTTAGCACTGGAGAATCCTTGGTTGTGGACTTCCCCAGCACTTTTAGATCCCGTGGGGTTGGAGCCTCTGAGGACAATGGCGGGGAAGTGGCTGTTGGGACCCTGAGTTACCTACTAGGCCAAAAGACCTCTTAAAGCTTAAAGTTAAAAATTTTCAAGTTTAGTACTTGGAATTCTGCTCATGAGCAGCCGTCTCCTCCTGTCTTATCTCACCAGCCCTTCCAGAGGAGACCACAGAAAGTTGGCACTTGAAAAATCTTTTCAGCTGGGTATGGTGGCACACGCCTTTAATCCCAGCACTCAGGGAGGCAGAGACAGGAGGAACACTGTGAGTTCAAGGCCATACCTGGTCTAAAAAGTGAGTCTTGGGGAAAAAAACAACCAAACAACCAAAAAAAAAAAAAAAAACATCAGGCAATGATTTAAGGGCTAGAGAGATGGCTCAGAGGTTGAGAACACTCACTGTTCTTCCAAAGGTCCTGAGTTTAATTCCCAGCAACCACTTGGTGGCTCATAACCATCTATATTAAGGTCTGGTGTTCAGGCAGAATCTTGTATAAATAATAAATAAATCTTTAATTAAAAAAAAACTTTTCACTTTGCCTGGCAGTGGTGGCACAGGCCTTTGATCCTAGCACTCATTGAGTCAGAGGCAGGTGGATCTCTGTGAGTTCGGGGCCAGCCTGGTCTACAGAGTGAATTCTAGGACACCAAGGGCTACACAGAGAAACCTTGTCTGAAAAAAAAAACAAAACAAAATATTCATTTTAAAGTTTTTTTTTTAATAATTTTTAATAATTTTTATGTGTTTGGGGAGAAACCCACCCAGAGGAGCTCTGTTTCAAAAAACCAAAAGAAAAAAAATTTTTTTTTTTTTTTTTTTTTTAACTTTCGTGTATTTGGGGTGTGTACAAATGCTACATCTAGTATGTGGAGATCAGAGGAGAACTTTTAGGAATCTTCCCTTCTACTGTATTTGGTTTGGCGATCAGACCCGTGGAGTGGTTTAATCCAGCAACATGGCTGCTCTGATCCCGTTCAAAGACCTTCTAGGTCTGTGTTGTCTGGTTAGAATGAAGGCACACCCTTAGCACACACCTTTAATCCCAGGCAATCAGTTTGTAGAAGGAAGCACCTGTGTTTGAGAGTGTTGTCTAACTGAGAGGCAGGTAAAGTGACAGGCCAGAGAAGGATTTGACAAAATAGGATCTGCCCAACTCTCATGAGAAGAGAGAGGAAAGAGAGGCAACTTAAGGGAGAACAGTGAAGAGAGAGGGAGAGGAGGCAGTTTTACAAAGACAGGTCAAAGAGAGAATGAGCCAGAGAATGAGGAGGAGCCAGGAGATTAGAACAGATTGCTAGAGTTAAATTTGAGGCCAGACAAGTAATTCAGCCAGAAGCTGAGAGAAGTCAGCTTGGAGGAGGAGTTTGAGCAGAACAAACTGAGTTGAACCAACCAGCCAGCGTTCAGAAAGAACTAGAAAGGGTGAGTTTATTCAGCAGTAAATGTCAGGCTGAAAACGCTGTAGGCCTAGATTAGATTGTATGGAGGCTGGAAGCTTCCAGAACTGAGCCTAAGTTACCAGATGGAGGCAGTAAGCCTCAGAGATGACAATTACTTCAGGCAAATGAAAGTTACTTTTACAGATCCAGGCTGTCAGGGTCGTGGCACATCCTATTTTTCCAAATGAGAGTTTGATGGCCAGCACTCTGTCAGACAGTGAAAATGAGAGTTTTCATTAGATAAAGGTGGAAAATGAACTAAAAGGAGCCTATAGACCTAATAATGACCTCAGGGGCAAGCATACCAACCCTAGATGACATCTTTCAGCCTGTCTTTCTCTTTATTTTTAACATTGGTGAGGAATCTCTATCTTGCTTAAGCCAGGGTTGTTTTCTGTTTTATATAGCTGAGCAGTCATAACATTCTGTTTGTCATTTGGAGTACTTTTTTTTTGTTGTTGTTACTGATTTGCATATTTTAAATATAGGCTAATGACTTTTGGTTACTATGAATACTCTGTTTTTGCTTATGTTTGGATTTTGTCTAAGTCTTTTTTTTTTTTTTTTTGTTAAGTGTTGGTGTTTATTTTTAATGTAGACAAAATTTTCAGGTTTGTGTTTTTTGTTTTTTTTTCCTTGGTTTTTCTGTGTGGCCCTGCCTGTCATAAAACTTACTCTGTAGACCAGGCTGGCCTCGAACTCAGAGATCTACCTGACTATGCCTCCCAAATGAGGTTTATTGTGATATTATTTTTATTTAATATTTTATATTGTTGTTTTTTTGTTTTGTTTTGTTTTGTTTGAGCCAAGGTTGCCAAGA